ACAGCCCAAGCTGCCGGGCTCTTTGCTGTTGCTCCGCAGGGGCCCAGAAGGACACAGCCTTTCTCCGCGCAACCTGCAGCAGCATCTATGATTCCTCCATGGATGTCAAGGGCTGTTGACCCCATGGAGCAGCACTTGCACTGCTCACCTGTGCCCCACACTGTATACCCCCCAAGTAGCCGCTTTGTAAGAGTGCCTAAAGAAGTCTTCTAGGTAGCCCCCCAATCCTCCCCCATGCCAACCTGAGGTGTTACAAGAAGTCTTTTCCCCATGCCAGGGAATAGGATTTCCCTGTAAGTGGAACTACAGGTAATATGGACAAGCCCTTCGGCATTGATCTCAGAAAATGTTGATGCAACCGGTGTAAGCTTCCTTCCATAGAGGGGAAAACCCTGAAAAATGAGGCAATGAAACTACCTTTGAATGGCTCTGAGCACATGCCCAGGACTGCTCACGAGTCTTTTTCTCTGCAACGTTCATTGGCACATGGTCAGCGCCATTTCAAGGCAGCCGCGTTGCCTTATGTCCAGGATTTGGCACGTGCAGAGGAGTGGGCCCAGCACGGAGGTGGTGCAGACACGGTCCCAGACATCTGACACACAAACCAGGTGAAACCGTCGTGTGGGCACCTTTTCCCACCCTGCACTCTTCTGTGTGTCAACATCTCAGGGACCAGGAGTGTCAGGAAAAGGGAGAGTTCAGCAAATGCACCAGTGCAGACCACTCCCTGCTGGCAGAAGGTCTCCAAGGGGCCAAGTAAAAGCTTTGCATTTAATTTTCACTGGGGGCCAAGAGCTGAGACTCAAGGGGCTACAACCCTGTCAAGGATTTGGTGCACAAGTGGAGAATCAAGCCCCAGGACCAAGGCCACACTGAGGGAGACTGCTAGAGCTAGGAGTTGATCCCAGGTCTTGTAAGTCCCATTCTCGTGCTTGCATCACAGATCCATTGAACCGTTTATTGATGCAATCTATTTCCTTCTATACCTTGTAGAGCCTATTGCTCTGGCTAGGAAGAGAAAAAGTGGCCAAAGTTCATAGCTAGGAATATTCCTTATAAAGGAAAATATTAGCTTTGACAAGCTAAGTGAAACTCTGCCATGTTACCCCTAGTTTGATCCTGTATTCCCCTTGCTAGGCAGACAGTATCCACATAGAGATAATCAATTCTTTACAACTACCCAGGCATGACTTTGTACAGAGGAAGCTGTGTCACCCGCACTGTCTGGAAAGGAGAATGGCAGAGCCCCTTTTTATTGTCTTCCTTAACAACTCTCTATTGCAACGTTGCCCCATGTCCAGGAACCCGTCCCCAGCCCCTCTCTTCCCCACAGCATTTTCACTGGGCCTGTGCTGTTTGCCCCGCTGGGTTTAATTTGCAGAATGAGTCCTGTTTGTTTGGGGCTGGCTTCAGATCGCCACGGGGCTCAGTCTGGTAATACTTTGCTTCCTCTCTATGACTGTCCATCAGGCCAGCCTCTCTCATTCCTGCTCGCTGACTCATCTGTGCTGTCATTACAAGCTCCTCAAAATGCATAGGTTTCTTTTTTCTATTTCTGTTTAGGAAGGGGTGGGAGGAAAGCCAGCCTGTGGGAACAAGTGATGAGCTTGTCAGGTGCTGGCAAAATGGATTGAATTAGGTGACAGTGGATTTGAATCGTGCTGCTTGCCCTGAATGCATAAATGCCGCCCTCTCCCCCCACCCCACATATGTACCTTTGACAGTCACGGAGCAGTGTCTTTTCCTCCCAAATGCCAAGAAAGCCCGGAGTACTTTCTTGTGATGTGAACTGCTTGGTGCCAGCACTTGCCATCATCGGAGCCCACACTTACTTGCTTAACGCCAGTTTATGTTTTATGCACCACGTCTCACTATTTACTCCTCAGCCTCCCTACCAAAGGACTGATAACACTCAGCTTGCACATCAGGCTGGATCCATGACACTGATGCTGTCTTGTCTTGTTTTAGGCCTCGGAGAGGAGCAAGTTTTTTTCAGTCTTCTATCTATCTATTAATGCTGGAAGTTTGATCTCCACGTTTGTTACTCCTGTATTAAGAGGTCAGTTCTGATGTAGCATGCGCCAATAAATTAGTTGCATTGTGACTGCACTACCATGGGTAGTTAGGTTTTTATGATGACTGAATGACAGAAATTACATTATCTCCTGAGTGACTGGCGTGTGGCATTTATGCCTTATTAATTCCACAGTAGCAGCATAACAGATTTATGGAAAGTAGCAGACGAGTCAGACAGACCATTCTACAGGCTGTATTTATTTGCTTTAAAGCCAGACCGAGTCACTAGGGATGGAAAAAAGATCCATCAGGTCGCTTCGTCCAGCTTCCTGAAAATGAAAGACTCCTCTCTGTTCTGCAGCCTGTAGGTAACCCATCAAAAGCAACTGACTTTCTCCTATTTGTTGCAGCCTTTAAGGCTGGAGCTACTTTAACAGTACTGCCAAGAGCTTCTGCAGTGTGACCCTCCCACCCTTCAACTGGGCCCAACGCCCCTGTCATTTGAAGAGGGAAGAGCAGCTGGCTGATGCAGCAGAAGAGGGCAGGCTGGCCATCAATCCCAAATGAAACCATCTGTGTGGGGTTGGGGAGCCATGGAACAGGATGGTCTGGGGCTTTGGGCTTGCAAGTCCAGTGCCTAAGTCAGGGGTGGGCAAAATACAGCCCGGGGGCCAGATCTGGCCCACCAGGCCATTCTATCCAGCATGTGGGGCCTCTAAGAAATTTAGAGAATTAGTATTCATTTGCTCCTGGCTGCCTGTCAAAGATGACAGGAGCCAGGGGCAGTAGCACCCAGGGGAAGCCAGCGGCAGGACTCAGCAGCAAGGCCCACCCA